TGAAATAAACAGAGGCAGTAGGTGTGGCCATTGAGTCATACAGCCCCTCTCTCATCATTTGACTCCTCCCCCACATCATCATAGCCTGCATTTAAAAAAAAAAACTTGTTTAATGTTATGATTGCATCAGTATTCCAAACTGAGTTAATTTCATTTAAATCAGCAAATTACTAATAGAATTACTTCAAAGTTTTTGTGTCTTAAAAAAGGTGCTAATAAAGAATCAAGTGTGACCGAACTTTTGACAGGCAATTTTATTCATAATATTTAAAATAAATGTTGGAATCATAAGCCAAAAAGGTTACCTAACAGGTTTCTCACATCTTCAGTGATACTCCACACATCATCATACTCCTCCTGATCTCCCTCTTTACACATGTACAAAAAAGATCAGAAATAATACACCTTGAATGTGCGTCATGTCATAGGTCCCTGTCCCCTCATGACAGATTATTAGATTACACCTGATATAGCCACAATAATTCATTAACGGTATAAACATATTCAATATATCATTGAAACAAACGTAGTTTATTGAAAATATTTTTTGTGACTCACCTTTTGCACACTGAGAGCATTGTCCATTAATGATGACATCATCATAATTCTCTGGTGTGTCCACTACAGACACACACACGCGCGCGCACACATACATTATCAGCTCTTAAATGTAATATTAAGCTGATAAAATTAAATTTTTTAAAATCTGAACTGGCCTTCACCATAAAGAAGTAGGGTGTAAAAATCCATAAGAAAAATTATCCAAAAATAAAATCACCTTTTTCAGTACCATAGTTCTGTCCACTAGTAATGACATCATAATATCCTTCTGGTGTGTCTCCTACAAATTTAACATGAAACCATCGTTATCACACTCAAAACAAACTTGAATGTACTGTATTTATTAATATGCACATTGCAGAATTAGAGAGAGAAATACAACTAAAGTACAGAAGAGCATCAGCACCTGTCTCACGATCTGGTATCGGTCCACCAGTGAAGATATCCTCATACAATCCTGGTGTGATCTCATTCACCCTCTCTTCAAAATCAAAATAGTATGTATGCATAAATAAATATATATACAGTGGGTACGGAAAGTATTCAGACCCCCTTAAATTTTACACAGTTTACAGTTTTCACAGTTTACATTTATTTACTGAGTTTGTAAATCACCTTTCTAACCTGAGAGAAGCTCATCAGTGTCTTCAGAGATGAGACTCCCTATTAAAGCAAGGCAGAACAATCAGAAACATGTTTTTTTTAATGTCCTCTTTGTAGGATTCAACTTTGCAAGCTGTTTTGAAAGTTAAGATCAACAACTTGATCCTTCTATAAGCATGAGGTGCCAAGCTGACTTTAACATTGTAAGGGTAATTAGTAATGTGCTAGTAATCGAGGAGAAGTAAACACTGTAGGGACCCTTTGAATCAGTACGCACTTACAATTACGTTTTCTCATGATGCCTCACCTCTATGAGTAAATTGATTGTGTCTGTGATAAATTTCCTCATATACTGGCTCAGTCTGAGACTGAGTCCTGTGAAGTCCTGTGTACCAGTCAGAGAGAGCTGTGAGTGTAGAAAGACAAACCTGCTGTCAGTTCACAACACATGACTGATCACACTGAATAAGACACAATATGACAGTCTCTGGATCTCTCCTACCTCTCCTCATCATTCTGTTCTGCTGAATCAGTATAAGCAGTGGCACTAAGAGCAGTAAGAGCACAACTCCCAGTACAATCACAAGCACTGGGGGGATGGAGAGAGACGCTGCTGGAGGAGATTGTGGAGGAGAGACTGATGTTGAGTGCACTGGAGGAGAAGCTGATGTTGTTGTGGCAGGAGTAGTGGACACTGACAAATCTGGCAATGTAAAAAATACTGAAATTATAATCAGTTCATGCAAATGTCTTGAATATACAAATGTTTTACACTTTAAAATGATGAATTGAATATTACTCCTCAGTATTTTAGTGTGACCTGCACAGATGAGTCCAGCGTGCTCTTTGTGGGAGCAGTCAGTGTGGCTTTTCAGGGAGACAGGACAGTCCCACAGGTGAATCTCATTCCCTCTGCACTCGACTCTGTTCAGCCACACAACACCTTCACCAGCACCAAAGACTGAATTCCCATCAGCCCTCAGTGCTGCTCCACAACCCAGCTGCCTGCAGACCACCTGAGCATCGCTGATGTCCCACTGATCATCACAGACTGAGCCCCACACAGCGTTATGATACACCTCCAGCCTCCCAGAGCACCGGCCCTCCCCTCCACTCAGTCTGAGAGGAAAATGATCTAAAACACATATCAAACAGCACGGACCAGCTTCAGCACAGCATTGTCATAAACCTCAAGTTCTTTTCTGTATTATTTACTGTTTTAAATCCCTCTGTGCATTCTATTCTAGAGCCCTCTACTTCTCTCTGTGACAACTTTGGGACGTATTTTTTGTTAAGATCACAACATTAAGATCACATCTGTCTAATTCAGTGTACACTTTGCATCAATCCTTGGGCCAGTGTTGATTACCCTGTATATGCTAATTATGCCTTCCACTTTTAACAAATATAGAGTTTCCTTTCATCTATATGCTGATGATACTATATTAAATAATGTAAAATAAATATTTTCCCTTAAAGCATAAAAATGTTTTTCAACCCCTTTTGGCCTGTTTCGAAGAAATTAAGCTTTGGCTATAAAATAATTTTCTAAATTTAAATGAAAATAAAATAAAAATAATTATTTTTGGGACTAAGGAAAATTGTGTGCTAGATGTTGACCATGACCATCTGGCCCCATATGAAAGTCAGTGCACTAGAAATCGTGTAGGTTACTTGTGTAACCCTCGTTCCCTGAAGGAGGGAACGGAGACGTTACGTCAGTGACTGACGAATTGGGATCTCGCCCGAGAGCCCAATCCCCTTCGAGTGTTAACTAAACAAGCCAATGACAGTTGGCGTGCGTGTTTCGCCACGCGCACCCCGCCCCGCAGCGCGGGTATAAAAGGAGAGCGCGTGCAAACGCACATCAGTTTTTCGCTGAGGAGCCGAGACTACGTGCCCCGGCCGTACAGCGGTGGTACAGCAACTGTGGCTACGGAACGTAACGTCTCCGTTCCCTCCTTCAGGGAACGAGGGTTACACAAGTAACCTAGACGTTCCCATTCAGTCAGTCACGTTCAACGTTACGTCAGTGACTGACGAATTGGGATCCGTATGGAAAACGCCACTATTGCGGACCCCCTCCAGTGCCCTGCGGAAGCCGGCAAGCCCCCCCACACCAGCTGGGGCGGAAGAGAGGACAGCGGCTAGGCAGAGGTG